TAAAACCGGGCCGTTGTAACGGTTTTCACCGCTTCCTTAGGACCGACTGAATCATGTCCAACTGCTGTTCACATGAAACCCTTCTCCACGTTAGTCCTCAAGATTCTCACTTGAGTATTTGCTACTACCACCAAGATCTGCACCAATGACAGCTCCAGGCAGACCTACGTCTGACACCTTCAACGCTATCATTGCGGCCCTCCTACTCGTAATGACATCGTATTTTCAAAAATATCGCCACTACGGTCGAGTATCGGCTTCACGCTACAGCATCGTCCATTTTCAGGGCTAGTTGCTTCGGCAGGTGAGTTGTTACACACTCCTTAGCGGATTCCGACTTCCATGGCCACCGTCCTGCTGTCTATAGCAACCAACACCTTTTATGGGGTCTGATGAGCGTACACATTTGATGCCTTATCTCGACGTTTGGTTCATCCCACAGCGCCAGTTCTGCTTACCAAAATGGCCCACTAGGCACTCATACATCCAAATGGTCGGCTTCAATCAAGAAAGTCAACCATCTCACCCATTTAAAGTTTGAGAATAGGTTGAGGTCGTTTCAACCCCAAGACCTCTAATCATTAGCTTTACCGGATGAGACTGAGTCAAAAAGCGCCTGCTATCCTGAGGGAAACTTCGGAGGGAACCAGCTACTAGATGGTTCGATTAGTCTTTCGCCCCTATACCCAGGTCTGACGATCGATTTGCACGTCAGAATCGCTACAGACCTCCACCAGAGTTTCCTCTGGCTTCGTCTTGCCCAGGCATAGTTCACCATCTTTCGGGTACCATCGTATACGCTCCAGCTTCGCCTGATTGCCAATAAACAAAGTAGGCGAGCCGCTACTGCGACCGAAATCTCGTAGCTTTACTTTCATTTCGCCTCTCTGGCCTGTACAAGACCGAGCGACTTGCGTATATGATAGGCTCCTTGGTCCGTGTTTCAAGACGGGTCAAATGGAAACCGACCTACTCGCGCCACAGTTCCACACCACGCAATGCAAGCAACAACTAATTGACATTGTTGAAACGGCTTTTCGCATCCAAAGACACGTAAAGACCAGCCTCGAAACATCAATTAGCAATCACAGGAAAACGCAGTTTATATACTCCCGAAGGAGAACTTTTATCAATCAGTTCATTAGGCGACGGTTCCGGCCAGAGACTATAACGCCGTCAAATCAAAGACTTGACGGGCACCTTTCTCCAGCCCAATCTTACGGCCGTCCCAATCATCTGATCGAACGTGGCTTAGCATCCTCGGCACGAAATGCACCAAAGCTTGCGGCCGAAAAAACAAAGGAACAATCTCCGAAAAGATCCCATTTCCGTCGTCGTTGGCTGCAAGCGTTGATTGAATCGACCGAAGCGCAAACTTCGTGGTTCCATCTGTTTGCCTTCCAGTGGTTTCACGTACTGTTTAACTCTCTCTTCAAAGTGCTTTGCAACTTTCCCTCACGGTACTTGTTTGCTATCGGTCTCGCTGTCATATTTAGTCTTGGATGGAGTCTACCACCGACTTTAAGCTGCACTCTCAAGCAACCTGACTCTAGAATGCATCGGTTTGCATGAATCAGTCGTTCGTCTCTATGGGCCTAGCACCCGCTCTGGATGTCCCTGTCAAAGGAACTTGAAACATACGACAATTCATGATGCACCAACACATTAACGCCGCATCTCTTGAACGCCTAAACGTCAAGACTTGGCGCTGGACTTTTCCCCTTTCGCTCGCCGTTACTCAGGGAATCCCATTTGGTTTCTTTTCCTCCGCTTAGTTATATGCTTAAATTCAGCGGGTAGTCTCGCTTGATCTGAGGTCGAATATAGACAATTCTAATTTGAATGTTAATCCATCATGGTAATCATACATGGCACACATTCTGGGTTGTTTAGCTGGAAACGCTAAATACCCTTCTAGTGATGAATGTGCTACAAAGCCATCAAATAATCACCAAAGGAGTCAGCATTCGAAATGTTTAGAAATAATCTCACGACACCGAAATGAATCGCGACGATAAAGATCTATTTCATTTTGGTTTGTCAAATTTCGATAACGACGCTCAGACAAACGAAGCCATCGGATATCCAATGGCTGCAATGTGCGTTCGAATGTCGAGTGATCAGAGTGTCCTGCATTTCACACCGATTAACGTAGCTAGCTACGTTCTTCCTCGACCAGCGAGCCGAGTGATCCACCACTGGCAGTAGTAATTTTTGCTTTCTTGCGATTCATTTGCAGAATCACAATTTAATTGTTTCAATGATACTGGCTCAATGTTGTTTTGAAATGAAAAAGAAAATGCCTTGTACCTGTGGCTCCAGCAATCGAATTATGCTCGAATCTGGTATTTAAACCTAGCGGCACTCATTACAAGCGACACACTACATCCACGTTTATCCCGAGGACAAACAGGAACCGTAGAATAGGCACCAACAGATAGCAAGGAGAATCGCCGACAAAGTTGTACATCGGTAAGTGTCAAGTTCCATTATTATGAAGTTGAACTAATGCTTTTTTCCATGTTACCCAGATATAATAAAAGCCAAGTTTCAACTTCAGAACTTTCAATGACACCACCAATCGCAACACAAGTCAGTCGATCCGTTTGTGATAACGGGCAACACATCGTTCGAATTGAGAATCAAGTGTTTCATTGTTCAAACAAAAACACCGATAATGATCCTTCCGCAGGTTCACCTACGGAAACCTTGTTACGACTTTTACTTCCTCTAGATGTTCAAGTTTGGTCATCTTTCCGGCCGAACATGGCCACCACGAGGATGGCTACGTTGGCCTGTCCGAAGACCTCACTAAAACATCCAATCGGTAGTAGCGACGGGCGGTGTGTACAAAGGGCAGGGACGTAATCAACACAAGCTGATGACTTGTGCTTACTGGGAATTCCTCGTTCATGGACAACAATTACAATCCCCAATCCCAATCACGAAAAAGTTTCACTCGGTTTCCCGCTTCTTTCGAAGTAGGTAGACACATGCACGCTGATTTTTTCAGTGTAGCGCGCGTGCGGCCCCGGACATCTAAGGGCATCACAGACCTGTTATTGCTCTTTTTCATACGGCTGAAACGCCGTTTGTCCCTCTAAGAAGCGTTCGAACAACACAACGGGTGTTCAACACTATTTAGTAGGCTAGAGTCTCGTTCGTTATCGGAATTAACCAGACAAATCGCTCCACCAACTAAGAACGGCCATGCACCACCACCCACTGAATCAAGAAAGAGCTCTTAATCTGTCAATCCTTCCAGTGTCCGGACCGGGTGAGTTTTCCCGTGTTGAGTCAAATTAAGCCGCAGGCTCCACTCCTGGTGGTGCCCTTCCGTCAATTCCTTTAAGTTTCAGCTTTGCAACCATACTTCCCCTGGAACCGAAAAACTTTGGTTTCCCGGAAGCCGCCAGCCGAGTCATACAATAAACTCTGGCTGATTGCTGGTTGGCATCGTTTATGGTTAGAACTAGGGCGGTATCTGATCGCCTTCGAACCTCTAACTTTCGTTCTTGATTAATGAAAACGTTCTTGACAAATGCTTTCGCTTTAGTTAGTCATGCGGCGGTCCAAGAATTTCACCTCTATCGCCGCAGTACTAATGTCCCCGTCCGTCCCTCTTAATCATTACCTCGATTCCGAAGACCAACAGAACAGAACCAAGGTCCTATTCCATTATTCCATGCAACAGTATTCAGGCGATTAATGCCTGCTTTGAGCACTCTAATTTTTTCAAAGTAAACGTATCGATCGCCCACGACACTCAATGAAGAATACCGTGGGACAATGCGATATTCTGCTCAGCATGACAGTAACCACCGTCAAGTGGACCACCATGCATGAGCTGAGATCCAACTACGAGCTTTTTAACCACAACAACTTTAATATACGCTATTGGAGCTGGAATTACCGCGGCTGCTGGCACCAGACTTGCCCTCCAATTGATCCTCGTTAAAGGATTTAAACTGTACTCATTCCAATTACGAGAACGCATAAGCGAAGCCCGTATTGTTATTTTTCGTCACTACCTCCTCGTTCTGAGAGTGGGTAATTTGCGCGCCTGCTGCCTTCCTTGGATGTGGTAGCCGTCTCTCAGGCTCCCTCTCCGGAATCGAACCCTGATTCCCCGTTACCCGTTACAACCATGGTAGGCACATAACCTACCATCGAAAGTTGATAAGGCAGACACTCGAAGGATATGCCGCCGGCACGAGGCCATGCGGTCAGCTGCAGTTATCCAGAGTCACCACCGTAAGGTGTTGCCACCTTTGGTCTTGGTCTAATAAATGCACTCCACCACGAGGATGAAGCTTTTCAGCATGTATTAGCTCTAGAATTACCACAGTTATCCATGTAATTGGTCAACATCCAATGAATCATAACTGATTTAATGAGCCATTCGCGGTTTCACCTTAATACGGTATGTACTTAGACATGCATGGCTTAATCTTTGAGACAAGCATATGACTACTGGCAGGATCAACCAGGTAGCAGCAAATGTTATAGACTTGCTTCATATTCAGGTAATTGTTGGTGACAATTAACCAGAGAATATTCAGCTGTCAAACATTGCTTGTGTTGTTGCAATAACAACACGACATGACGATTGCTTCGCACATCACTGTTTAGGTGGAAAGCTTAGCAAACATCGATCATGCCACAAATCGTACAAAGTACGATCAAAACCCGTAATCTTTCGATTTCAGGCATTTTCGTCGATCTTCTTCAGCTTGTTGCAATGAACGAATGGCTGTTCCACTATTTAATCGGTACATTTAAGCACGAAAAGCGAAAACAAGCCAAGTTCTGGATCCATCCAAAACGACCATGTAACCACGAATCCGATATGCGACCATTGAGCAGCTCCAAGTTGACGGGAATCTTCAGCAGTTGAGCATTTCAGTCCATGCCTTAAAGATTAAGGGGAGACCCAGAAATGCACGGCGCTGATTCGAGATCCAATACCATACACACTACATCCGAGTATGGATCAGAACCTCAAACGCCAAGACTCAAGCGAAAAACCGAAGCTTCTCGCTCAAGCCCTACGCATTGAAGCGCGTTAACCATTTGAAAGTGTGAGACACCACGATTTCTCCGGTTAAGGGTACTACTGTGATAAGGCAAGCGTCAAAATGGAGAAAGCGCTTCGCCAAGCCGAAAAACTAAAATTGCAACTGCAGCACTGACACAGCGCTAACAAGTTACAATCCTCGCTTGTATCAACTTTGTCAAATCGTCGATTTCTTTCGAACGATCGTCTCGCCACAAATATATCAAACCTTGACCACGATTCATAGTATAAGTAAAATGAGCATTGCAAAAATAGCAAATTATCGGATATTTTGTAGTAGTTGATCGTAAAGTGAGGGAAAATTACGAAGATAAGTGGGATAAAACAAATTGCAATCCATGGTAACAATCATTTAGTTGCTACATAGTGAAATCTGGATAGCTACAATCGTGTTTAACTTCGAAATATAATGTTGCCGCGATACACACACACACATACTTTCCTAACAGACGATATGAGATTTATAAAAGAGATACATGCAATATATTCATTGCAATTCTGTTTGCGTTTTATCGTCAGAAAAATTATCAGCACATTTTAGCCACAGATAATATGATCAAACCATGTACAAGATTTTCCGAACGATAAAAAAACTTTATCACAAATACGAAAAAAAATTCATTTATCACGCACTGTTCAATGATGTCTTATTATCATTGTGCATTCGATGTCTCATACTGTTCAAGACGGAGAATGTTATTTTGATTGTTATTAAAACATTTCTATTTGTATTTTCTGTGTGTTTGCGTGCGTGCGTGCTTTATCGTCAGAAAAATTATCAACACATTTTACCAGCAGATAATATAATCAAACCATGTACAAGATGAAATAATCTTGCAAAATGAAAGCGAATTTATTAAACAACAAAAAAACATAGAAGTATATCTATTGATTATGAATGATAATCATAAAATTCTAACAATTTTTTTTTCATCTTTTCAGTATATCCAAAATCGTATTGAATTCCATACGTTGACCATTTTTCTATTCAACTCATGTTGTGTTGTTCGTCATCTTGTTCAAAATCAACCTGTGAGAATTCATATATCGATCGATATGAATTGGATGCATGGAAAAATTTTTTTCGATTTGTTTGCTAAAATAAAAAGTTAAATTCGTAATAAATAAATAATATGAATATGACTGACTTGAAATTTTTATCAATTGTTTTTTCCTTCTGTTTTCCATAAAAACTTTGGTGTTTTCACATAATTAAAATTCTATGGAAAAAAAAATTTCAATTTTTTTTCTTCACCTAAAAAAAACTTAGCAAATATGGTGGTGGTTCTTGTTGTTGTTAACCACAATAACACAATTACAACACACACAAGATCTGTCATTTTTGATTGTGTTTAAAAAAAATTGTGAAATAGAAAATGTTATCATTATATTGTAATCCAGAAAAGTTTTTTTTTGGATGGCCATTAAAAAAAACAAGAATAAAAAAAAATGTAATTCAAATTCAAATTCAAACGACATTTAATTGCCTGGCGAATTCGTAGGATGAACCTTAAAAAAAATCGATTCTGTTGTAATTAAAGTTTTCGAATGTAAACGCACCCACATCTAAACCTCCTGTTTTTAAGTTTATGTAATTGTTATTATTGTTTTCCACTCAGAATATATCACACAAAACCTGCATGAGATTAATCTTAACGCTTTGACTTTGTTTGTTAACATCATCACATTATACTGAATGGCCTATTCATTTCAATTTAATTTATTAAAAAAAATTTCTTTCTTAATAATGTTATTATCAATGAATTATGTTAACAATATTTTGATTACCACATATCGATGGTGTTGGCCAAACACCAGGCAATATTTCAAACAGATTGATCCATTCATTAATGGAATAATCGAACAAAATGAACAAATTATTCGTTATCATAAATATTTTCTCATTTACCTACTATCATCATCGATTCGATTTCTATTGCTTTATATTCTACCATTATCTAAACATTATCGTATAATTATATTTGATTTATCTCAATTTTTACGATTAACGGCCGAAGGAAATCTTATATTCATGGTTGTACTTTTTACTATGGTCTATATGTATAGATATTTTTTCCTACCTAATAATTGCCGATTAAATTCAACGATCGTCGATATTATTCTTGAAAAACGTAAAGATTTTATCATCAAATCAAAATCAGTATCGCCACTAGCAATGGATTGGTCCAACTATTTACAGAATAAAATGCGTATCCATGTTATTCGTCGTAATTTTGAAATTTGCATGTCAGGTAATTTCGTTAATAATCTGTTAATCAAATAGATGATATAAAATTTTATTAATTAATTAAATATATAGTATCATTAATTCTTTACTCACAACATTATATTACAACACAAGTTCAAATGAATTGGTCAGAATTTTTCAATCCGGCTTATACACCATTGTTTGGCATCATTAAGATTGTCATCACGGAAATCGTTGCTTTAATGGCATTAATAGATAGTTTACTTGTATTTAATATGATTGAATTATTATTCACATTTATGTTATGTTTTTATTGGCTTATATCATGTGAATATGATCGGATCGCCAATAGAATTGAATATGAACCATTAGAAATGATTAGCCATCGATTGTTGGGAAAATTTTTACGACAAAATATACAATTATTCATATTCGCCGATCATGTATTTCGATCATATTCGGCAATTTTTTTGGCCTATCTAGCCTGTTTTCTTCCGGTCAATCTTTATCAAATATCATTGATTGTTCGAATATATCATATGGACCAAGAAATGGATTTATCACAATGTTTATTCTTAATGTCATGTATTCTCACACAATGTATGGGTATGTTTGGTATACATTATGTTTGTACACAATATTCGAAACGTATCCATACAAACGGTATACGTCGATTGATTCTCGTGGACACTGTCAAATCATTTGCATCATTTGGTTCACACTGGAAATTATGTTCACAAATTGAAAAATTTCATACAAAAAATCGATATGGCGTTTCTTATGGAAAATTCGGTGTCATTAGTGTGACCGGATTTGTTCGGGTAAGTTTATTTTTTTCTCTGCATTTCGAATTGTTAAAATTTATTTCATTTTTTTTCTTCTTTCTCTTATCGAAACTATATTGATATATTGATTTAATTTAATTAATCTCAAAACAAAACAAAATCAGTTTTTACTTATCTATTGTAAATTGATGATGATGATTTTCAAGATTCAGATGCACACTAAATATTGACAATAAGATTATCGATTATTATTTATTAAAATTGAAAATTTCGTAATTTTTATAATAAATTATTCAAAATAAAAAAAAGTAGATACGAAATACGAATACGATTATCGGACAACTAATATATCATTCAATTAATCGAACGATTAATCAATCATTCAGGTTGTGTTGGCCTGCCATCTTACGGATCCAAAATCAACAAATAGGTCTTGAAACATAACAGTTCTTTTATTGGGTGCTTCTATCTACTACTGCTGCTGGGTGTTGCTCTCGCTGCTGCTGTTAGTGTTGCTGCTACCACTTTTTTTTCGTGACGGTTTTTCGGTAAACATCTCAAATGGATTAATTAATAACAAACGTTTTTTTTTCATTTGTTTGATTCCTCATGTTTAAAATCTTATTGTAATCGATAGTTTTTTTTGTTGAAAAAAAATCGAACAAACTTAAATCGATAAATGTAAGTAAGTTATAACAAATTGATCATCATGGTTACAATTTTTTTTTTTTTGAATGTTTTCGTTTTTTCAAACATTTTCGGTTGAAATTTAGCAACAAATTATTGATTGATTGATTGAAAAGCAACAACAACAATAACAACAACAACAAAAATGTCAACCATGGATTATGTTAACCAACGATCAACAACCAGCAGCAGCACAACCATCAATAATGATTCAATTGTAAATTGTCGTAAATGTCGTCGATATGAACGTGAATTGAATAAAATAAAAGATGTTGCCATTGCATTACAACATTCGGTACAAATATTGGAAAATATACAACGTATATCACGTGAACATGTACAATGTTTGCAAAGTCTATCATCATTATTACGATCATCATCATTATCGTCAAAATCTACATCATCTTCATCAAATTCTAATTCAAATAATAATAATCGCCATAATAATAATAATAATGATGATAATAATAATTCAATGAGAGCTGAATTGAAACAGATTGAACAATTGCAGAAATTAATTACATCATATGAAAATGATCTTAATGAATGGAATCAACGTTATGAATCATTACGATTATATCAATGTGCAACCGGTAATGATGAACACATTAGATCAATATTACCACAAAAATTACAAACACTTATGCAAAGCGGTTTTATTGACGGAACTAATAATGGTATGGTTCATCATCCACATATACATGTCGGGGCTGATGGTGATGCCGAATCTTGTACAACATCCTCCGGCGTGGTTGTATCATCAGCCGAGAATCCTAATTGTGATGATGATGAGGATGATGATGATAATGTTGATAATGATGGGAATGGTCATCACGATATTAAACCACATTTAATTTATTTCCAAAATCCAATGTCCGGTCAATCATCAGCTGCAACGATTCGTATCGATTCAAATCGTTGTCTACCGAGTACGGGTACACCGGCATTTTCTTTTAATCAACCACCGCCACCATCATCATATTCACATCATAGCCATAGTTCTTCATCGGTACAACAACAACAACAACAACATCATCATCATCACAATCAGAATCATCATAATCATCATTCGAATAATCATCACCATCATCATCATCAACAATCATCACAATCATTATCATCTAAACGTGTTGTTTATTATCAATGCGATCATCCTGGTTGCGTATATCAGACGGAAAAACCACGACGATTAAATATACATAAACGTTTACATTCCGGTGTAACAATATATCAATGTGATTTTTCCGGTTGTGGTTATATATCCGATTTAAAGGGTAATCTGAAAAAACATAAATTAACGCACACTGGTCTCATGCCATCATCATCAACTACATCATCATCATCTGCAACATCGGCCATAGCAGCAGCAGCCGCCGCATCATCATCATCACAAGCATTACGCGCAGCATTTGATGGTACAACATTCGGCGGTCTAGTCGATTGGACACATTCAATTAAATAAATAGAATTTATTATTCATTATTGATCTATCTGAATTGACAGGAAAATTTTTGTTTGTTTGTTTTGATTTGTTTTTTGTTTTTTTGTTTATCATTCATTTACGATTATCATATCACGATATTGGTGAGTTTTTTTCTGGAAAATTTTTTTTATTATTATTTTTTTCTTTGTTTAATAAGGAAAAAAAATTCAATTCAATCAATTAGATCACGTGAACAGAAAAAAAATCAATCAAGTGGTGGTATGGTTATATATATAAAAAAAATGAATGCTAGAAAATTATGAAAATTTTTTTCGCTTTGTTTTCAATAATTGGTCCGGTCCCCGTGTTTAGTAATGTTTGGTTGTAATGTTCGTTTCTCGTTGTAATAACCAATAGTGAACAATGGATGAATGAAAAAGCAATTTATCAATGAAAAATCATCATCAGGACAATAATTTCGAATGACATTTATGCTGATCCAGGTGCATCGAATCGATCGGTTGCTGAATTTTGTCTTGTTTCTTCCAATAATCGATCAATATCCGGAATAATACGATCGGGTAAATATTTTTGATCATAACGTTTAACTGGATAACCAGTGATTGGATGGATGAGAAATTTTTCAAAATTCCAACGTATATCGCGTGCATTTTTCGGTTTATATAATAATTTTTCTTCATTGGCATTGAAACGTGTTCGGGTGGATGGACAGCAACGTTTAAGAAATTTATAAATCTTGTGTTGATTCAAACCATTTACATCGATACGTTCGGTCAATGGAAATTTCGGTACAAAACCATTACCAGGTCGGACATATTTTATTGCATTATAGATTTCGGTTGCATCACCAGTTGGTTCTTGCTATTTTTTTTTAAATAAAAACAAAATAAAATTTGAATGTTTATTGCTTAGTTGTGTAATTTATTGGTTGATATTATAAATATATTCGAGTATAAATGAAAAGAAAATGAAAAGAAGCAGCAACACTTACGTTCAAAAAATTATTGGATGGAAAACCAATAATAATCAATTGATCACCATATTTATCTTTTAATTGATTATAGATTGGATATTCAATAGTTGATTCACAAAATGTGGCCACATTTACTAACAATAATGGTTTACCACGAAATTCACGGAATCGTAAAAGACCATCGGATTCATTAAGAAATGGAATGGAAAATTTCCATAATGAATCACCATCATTTGGTGTTGAACATTGAACAAATGGTCGATCCTGATTTAGATCAACAAGAAAATGTGTATGTGAATCTTCAAGGTCCGTATCGAATGAACTGTTACTGTTGACATTTGTACGGAATATGTATGATGATGAATTAAATCTTGGTGAATTTAATGTTTTTGAAATGGATGATTTCAATTCATCAAGATCACGATTAATCGAATCCAATATGGCCGATGAATTTGTTGCTATTCGTTGACCTTGATGATGACCAACGATAGTCAATAATAAAATAATCAAACAGAATTGAATCGATTTCATCATTATGTATGCTAAAAAAATACAAACAAAAAATATTTCGACTTATAAAAAAAAAATGAAATGTTTGCCGCTTCGAATGATTGATTTTTCGTTTGGTTTAAATAGTAAAAGCTATCGTTGTTGCCGCCGCCGCCGTCGTAGTCGTCTTTGTCTTCGAACATTTTTGATACATGACAAGTGGAGAAAAGAGAAGAGAAAGTGTTTCTATGTGCTTTACTCTCCTCTCTATCTCTAATATACAAACAAAGATTATGAGATATCGTTATATCATCATCAAAATCAAAAGCAATTGCAGCTATGCAACAACAAAGAAAATCTTTCCTTTTTTTTTGTTTTATGATGATAATGATAATTGGTATTGGTCGAATATATGAAAAAAAAACAAGTTTGCAATGCTTTCGCCTTTGTATATGTGTTTGTTATGTCGAAATGTTTTATGAATTTCGTTTGTTTTGTTTTTTTTCTCTCTCTCTCTCTCTATATCAAAGAATAGAGATAATATTTAAAATTTTGTCCATTGGTAAGACAAACAATTTCGGATTCTGATGAAACGAAAACAACAATCATGGTCAATTATGATTATGATATATAAGTGATTATATCGTTGAGGTTCTTTTCTTTTGTTTTTTTTGATTATATTCAAAATGTTATCATCATTTTCTGGATACTGACCAACACCACCACCACCACCACCACCACACTATCTTTTTAATATCATCATATTTTCGGTGGACAATGATTGTTGTTTCTACTAAAACAAATTATCAAGGACAACCAGTTTTTTTAATGATAATTTTCGTGATATGATAATGATGTTGAATAAATGCTAAAAAAAACTAAAACAAAACAAAACTAGTTATCAAAATTTCATAGAAAAGAAGAGAGAGAAAAAAAATTGCTACCATTAATTACCAGAATATGAAACAATCCTGATTCTTATCAATTAATTATGATTAATGTTTGTTGTAAGAATTTACAATCGTCAATTAATAGCTATGCCATTGATGACCACAATGATGATCATCGATTTAAATTTCGAAATATTGTGTATTCGAAAACAGGAAAAACATTTGATTTGTTTTGATTTCTTTTTTCTTTACATAATCAAATAATGATAATCATCATTTTTTTAAAATTAATTTATTGATCCATCGATTGATAGGGAAGTTTTTGGTTCATATCGGTCGTGATGATAATTGAATTTTTTTTCAAAAACAAAAAAAAAATCTCGTTACATTCATTGATGATTACGACATTAGATTGATTGAAAAAAAAATTGTTGGATGTCAAACAATGTTTGTAGAAAATCTGTGTCATCAAAACAATAAAAATGAATATATAGAAATTTTATTATAGCTTCATCAATTTGTTTACAAACTTTTTAATCATTTGAAAAAAAAAATCTTTACCATTAAGGCTTGATGGATTTGATTTGAAAAAAAATCCCTGCTAATCATCATTATTCGGTTTTTTTTCTGTTGCCATATCCAAATATCCTAATCCTAATGATGATATTGTTATTGTTATTGGACCAAGAAAAAAAAAGTTCAATAATGTCATCATTTGTTGATGGATAAAATGAAAAAACAACGAATGAACGAACGAAAATAATGTCACCATCATCATCATCATCATCTTAGTCGTAGTTGTAGTCGACATAAATACATTATATTTCAATTACGAACGTTGTAATTGGATTTGATGATCCAAACCAAAAATATTTATACCATGTGTTTGTAAAAGATGGTCATGGCCATTATTATCGATTGTAATGACCTTGTTTGAAATTTGAAATAAACAAACATTTTTTTAATTAACCTGATCTAAAATGAAATATATTTTTTTTTAAATTCAAAATAAGCCCATCTAATCAATAATAATTTTGTCCCAAAATAATTTCAATGAAAAACATTATGTTTGTTTGTTTGTCAATTTGTTGGTTTGATGAAAATCTTACTATCTCTCTTAATTCTTTTTCAATTTTCGATCTTCTCGTATGAATTCGGCTCCACGTTCTCCAAGCATAATAGCTACTGATGCCATACTACCGGTTGTAATTTCCGGTATTACAGAATTATCAATAACACGTAATGAACGTATACCAATGACACGAAAACGTTCATCAACAACAGCTCCACCATGATGATGATCATTTTTCGTACCCATACGACAAGTACCAACATAATCACCGATTGGCATGGTCATCATTCGTGCCATACAACGTAGATATTGATCCAATGCATTCGGTTTATTCGAAATTGTTTGCTGTTGATTATTGTTATTCGATGCTGATGGTATTCGACGATTCGGTAATGATTGTGATTGTGGTGGTGATTTTGTTGTGACAGGTGTATGATATGACTGTCTTCGAATTGTAGGTTGGGCTGGTGGTGGTGGTGGCTTCGACGATGGTGATTCGGTGGAAATTCTAGGTGGCGAATCAAAATATCCGGTCAATACGATTGGTTCAACATCGATCGGTAATTGTGGCGATATCAATGTTTTTGTCGTAGTCGTTGATTCAAATTTGTTTGGTTGTTGTTGTGATGGTGGTTTAGGTCTCGATTGTTGTCCACGATTACTATGACTATTCCATACTGTTATTCCGATCGTATTATCTGTATTATGATTTGATCCAGAGGATGAAGAGGAAAAGCCATCGATAAGATTACTACTGCTAACAACACCACCATACAATGTTTTGTTCATCAATGGATGATTTTTTAATCGTTCCGGTTCTAATAACCAATATTGGTCAAAATAGTATGATGAAACTGATGAATTCGATATTGAACGTCGCCATATCCGACGACGACTATTCGATGATGATGATGATCGATAATTTTTCAATTGTTTTCTTAATAATAATGTTGGTGATGATTTTCGAAATAATTTACTCATAAATGATGATACAAAATAGAATGGTAAATTCTGTCCACCACTACTATTGCCATTGTTTACAACTGAGATTTTGGCCGTTGTCGATTCAGGTTTTTGTTGTTGCTGATGATGATGATGATGATGATGATAGGAATAAGTGGTCGTCGGCTGTGTAGTGAAAAATTGTTGTTCCACATCTAATTCTTCTACTACAGAATTATCCGATTCCGAATCATCAGATATTTGATTGATATTTTCATCACCAAAAATCATCATTGTTTCCGATAATTCGGATTGAAATTTTTGAAATTCAAATTCACAACCAGGTACAACCGATTGATACCATTTTGTACCGATATGACGGAAAGATTTTGTACGTATTAAACGTAATGCTTCACGCATTGCATTGATTATCTGACGTAGATCATCCGGATGTTCCAAATATCTTGGATCAATCAATGGTGGATCAAATGCATTGGCCGATTTCAGACGAATTGTACCACGACTTTTTGGTTTCAATACAATCGGTAATATTGTGAATTGTAATTTACCAGCTGTTGATTTTAATTTTTCACCGTAATATTGATTCCAAGCCGAACGTTTTAGATTTATCTGTTGTTCACTTAATTCGGGTGATATTTCACGATTTGTCAGTCCATTTACATAGGCCAATAACATTGAATCTGGTGATGAACGTTGATGGTTATCATTGAATTTGGAATGGTCACGAAATATTGTTGCTGCATACGGCGATTCAGCTAATGGACCCTTACCATAATAAAAATATTGTTTCAAATGTTGTTTAGTTACACCCGGTTCGGGTAAACCATCGACAATAAAATAAAGACCTAATGATCCAACATGATCATGAAGATTTTCACCAACACCAGGTAGATCCATTTTCACTGGAATCTGGTGACGATTCAATTCATTACGTGGTCCAATACCGGACAACATAAGTAATTGTGGTGAATGTAATGCACCAGCACTGATAATCACTTCTTGTCTTGCGAATACACTGTATTGTTGCCAATCACGTTGAAAACGTACTCCGATAGCACGATCGTTTTCAAATAGAATTTTTGTTACAATTGAATTGGCTAAAACATGTAGATTTGGTCGATTTTTTAGATTTGGTTCCAAAAATGCTGTTGACATTGATTGTCTACGACCTTGATGTATTGTCGATTGTAATAGAGCTGATCCATTTGAAACACCTGTATTAAGATCAATGATTCGATAACCAGATTGTCGTGAAGCCAAAAGAAATGTTTGAAGAATTTTATCTACCGATGATGAATCAGCTGATGAATCACTAGATGTTGGTGTGAATTTCAATGATGATTTACGTAATGGTTGCAGATAAACAGGACCATTTTGACCATAATGACCGATTTTCGACCGATTTGGATCCTGTTGATTTTCATTACGTATCATATATGGAAATACATCTTTCCATGTCCATGATTTTAGACCTTTTCAAAAAAGAATTTATTCATTCATTGAAATCAACAACAAGTTGAAAACTTACCAAATTTCGATTCCCAAAGATCATAATCGATAGGATTACCACGAAGATAATACATACGATTAATAGAAGATGTACCACCCAATACACGACCACTAGCCAGATGACATTGATTCGAATTCATTGCCATACAGGAATAATTCTGTATTGTGGTCAATAATTTCCAATCCATAACTGTACCGATTAATGTCTCACTAAGACCCGGTGTATTCGATGTAACCGTTTCAGATCCACCAGCTTCAATCAACAATACTGTTATATCACGATCTTCACTAAGACGAGTGGCTAACACAATGCCAGCTGTACCACCACCAACAATGATAAAATCATAATATGCATTCCAATTATTACGCACGGTTAATTGATCATAGAAACTTTGTTTATTATAGATTATATTCGATATGGTTAGAAAACTAAATAATAAACTTGTTAGATTGGCAAAACCAAGTTTACCCATTGTCACATTCAATGATTACGACGATGCTAGTGATGATGATGATGTTCATTCGATATGGCGATGAAAATCACAAATGACACACACACACACACACACGATTGAATCTTGACAATTTTTCGGGATTTCTTTTTTTGTTTGTTTGTTTGCTTTAGTTTGATTTGAACAACTTAAAGTTTTATATATAGTCAAGAAAATTATCATAATAATGTAATGAATCCAATTTTGAATGTTTTGAAGAGTTTGTGTGTGTGTGTGTGTGTGTGATAATAGATAAATTTAACTTCCGGGTTTTTCGTCTTCTTGATCTTCTAAAATGATGATGACAGGTTTTCGCCACATTCACCAAGGTCATCATCATTGAACCATTCTATATTATGGAATAAGAAAAAAAAAGATTATTGATGTGATCATTGACATTTGTGTGTATTATTGTTGTATATCGATTGTGGACACCTTTTTTCGATGATTTGTGTTTGTATTACTGGCTGGTTGTTGCTACTTTTTTTTGGTGATGGGGGGGTATCATATTCATTGGACCGTTACGTTTAAAGAGATAAGAAGACTTTAGGTTTTTGAAGATTTTCATTTTGATAATGATAATTCCATTGTGATTGTCGTTGTGAAGGATTTTTTGCCGTTTGAATATTTAATATGTGGGTATAAATCACACTATTTTTTTGAATTTCAATTTTTTTTCCAACCACAGTTTGAATACCCAACGGTAGATGGTGATAGTGCTGTCCTATATATATATATTCTGTATAATATCCATAATAGTGGTACTTGCCAATGATACATAACATCTCAACATACAAATATAATTTTATGCCGCTACTCTTTTCAATCATTTTCGAATATGTCCTTTGTGGATGGATATATATTTGAGCATTTGTGGGTGTGATGGATACAAAATAACATTTCTAATGACGCATGCGTGGTTTAAAAATCAAAAAACGAAACGCACACCATGACGATCGCACGTAATAATACAAAGAATGATAGAAATGAGCAAAAGAAAAAAAAAATGAAAACTTATGGTAAGTGGTGCCCCTTCGTATCTACTGTATACACTGGCCATAAAAACGCGCTGAGCCATTGTTGATGGACGGTTCATTGTCAACATAAAATCGTTCAATTTATATCGATTTCAATCAAAAACATCACATTGGTAAGTAATGATCGATTTAGAATTTTATAATAAATTTTTTAAAATTAAAATTCAAATAAATCAATCCAATTTATTATGATAATTTTATGATAAATTTATCCGATGTAATTGTGTGTATGTATGGTGCCCGAATATGTTTGTATCATACACACACACACACACACAAAAAGTGTGGCGGCCGAAAAAAATCCATCCATAAACAAAGTCGCGTCCTATGTGTCCAAGTATCCTATATTCTTTGAATTTGTCATGTTTTGAAACTTTCGAAATTCAAATTGTTTATTGAATAATAATTTTTGGCGCCATTCAATGATCATATTCTGATGATAAATCGATTGATCATTTTTAAATAATAATTCCTTTTTTCTATTTCAGCTTAATATATTCGTTAAGAAAATTCTCAAAAAAACTTGAATAAATTTCTCCGATTTTGTATAATATTATCGAATCTTTATCTTCGTTATTAGTTGTTGTAAATATATAAATGGATAATAATATCCCTAAAGAAGAGAATAACAATACTGAAGAACTTGAAACGGATACGAAAGGTAATTAATCAATATCATCATTAATCATAAAAGCATATAATCTTTTTCAATTTTATTTGATTAGATCAAAATTTTATGGCCGAAATGGTCGAAGTTCGTGTTAAAATGTACATGTGTCGTATATGTGGTATTCGTTATGATAATATGGAATCAATGAAACAACATTATAATGAAGAGTATGTTTATTGATTTTTTTTCAAGTTTCATTAATTTTATAATTTAATGTTTATTTTCAAAATATAGCCATCCAACAACAAGTGCCGAAGATGAATCGATGGAAGAAAAAATTACAACAATCAAAGAAGAAATAATGGAAGATGAAGAAGAAACACTTGGTGATGAAGGTGAAACACAGACAAATTATGTTATCATTGGTGAAGATGGTCAACCATTAGATTTACCAATGGAAAGTATACAGGTTCTACAGATTGCTGATGGTGGAGAAAATGGTGGACAAATTGTATTTCGTGTTATAAATCAAGATGAAACTGATGGTGTCGGTGATATTGAAGATCATGAAGAACAACAAGTTAATGAAATGGCCATAATCAGTGAAGAAACAGCAATAGTCCCGGTAGAAATGGCTTCCATAGGTGAAGTTATTGAACGTCGACGTACACGGCAACAACAAAATGATGATAATAATCAAACTGATGGTACATCTTCACCACCGTCAGCAACACCAACAACGCCATCGAAACGTGGTCGTAAACGTAAAAATGCAGCACAAACACCAATATTGGAACCAAAATCATTAAATACATCGGCTTCTGCGACAACATTAGCATCGACAAGACCTAAACGTATGGTCGTCCCGAACATTAAATCTGAATTTGTCTATGAAGGTATATCACAATCAGTAGAAACGCCTATTACAACAACCAAACAATCTCGGCAATCCGATCAAACATCATCATATACATTCATTCGTGAAGGTGGTGTTATAACGGCATTCCAAGTAACCAATGAATTAGAAACATCAACATCGAAAACTATTGATAATGGAACAACCGAAATCGATGAAGCAGATGAAGCAACAACACTTGTTGGTGAGGATGGTGATGGTAACCATTCCTCTTCTATTATGACAACACGTGTTCGTAATCGTAATGCTGTTGATGATGATGAAGATTATCCAGCTGATTATACACCAACATCTAAAGTGAAAAAAGGTCGTCAAGTTGAACCAAAAGACGAGGATAACCATCTTCGAAGATTTCCATGTCCATTTCAAGGATGTAAATATGTGGCAAAATATCGTTCAAATCTTTGGGATCATAAAAAAACACATACCGGAGAGAAACCATACGCTTGTAATTGGCCATCATGTTCGATGCGTTTTTCGCAAACACATCAACTGAAATTACATCTTCGATCACATACAGGTGAAAGGCCATATGTTTGTGATTGGCCTGGCTGCAATTCGGCATTTAGGTAATTGGGTAATTTTTTTTTGCATCATGTGGTTTTTATTTTTTTTTTTTTTGCCAATTCATAGCCAAAAACCTGGATTAAAATCACACATGTTGACCCATACTGGCGAGAAACCATTTAAATGCGATTTTCCCGGTTGTGGTTGGACATTCCGTCTAAAAGGTGCTCTAACCGATCATAAGAGAGCCATACATGAGAATGCTAAGAAACATGTTTGTGAATGGCCTGGATGTAACAAACGTTTCCTACAACAATGTCACTTGAAGAAACATATTATGGGTCATGCTGATATTAAACCATTTGCATGTGATTGGCCTAATTGTAATTATAAAGCCGTCACAATGGCCTATGTTACGAATCATCGTAAAACACATACAGGCGAAAAGAATTATGAATGTACATTTCCAAATTGTAATAAACGATTCGTAAAATCAAGCCACGTGAATCGTCATCGACAACGTTGTCATCCAGAATTGTTTATAATCGATATGGAACATGCTGAATATGATGACGATGGTGATGATGATTATGGTGAAGATGATGATATTGCCGATAATAATCCAACCAATGGTAATGTAGTTTAAATTGATAATTTTTTTTTTGTACAGTGTTTATATTATATGTTTGTGTAATAAAATAAAAAAAACATTGTTTAGTGTCTTGATATTTTTGAATTAATTTTTGATTATTCAACAGGTGGTGATGGTGAAGTTGGTGGTGAAGGAGAATCAACAACCGATCTCATTCAGCAACAAGATGGTGATGATAATAATACAACAGCTCCTACTTCAAATACTGAAAATGTTCAAACTATTAATGGCAATGTGGATAATAATGCTCATTATATTATCACTGAAGATACGGATGATGGACAACAATTAATGATAGAATTGAAAAAAGAACATTTTGATGATGATGATGAAGAACAGATTGTTGATAGCAACGTACAAACAGAAAAAACAACGGAACCGGAATCAACTTCTACTACAGAAACGACAACGAATAATCCAAAGAATTCGGTTAGTTGAATTGATTTTTGTTTACCTCTTTTTGTCATTTTATTATTATTATTATATAATATAACAAATAGCCGGCAACAAAAACGAAAACAATGACAACGACAACCACACCTACTCGAATGACCACCAGAAGTCGAGGAGCTGCTAAAACGACAACATCAAGCGGAAATAATAATGATTGTGATTGAAAATCGAGAAACAAAACAAAACAAAAAAATTATTATTTGATCGATATATCGATTGTTGTTATCGTTAATTGTTCTGTGTAATGGCTTGTAATAATTTTTTTTTTGTCAACAACAACACTGATATTATCGGATTTCCTTTGTGTGTGTGTTTGAATTTTATACTATTTTTAAATGTATTTTTTTCAATATATGAAAAAAGGCTGATTTGATTTTAATAACACAATTTATGGTAGCTAAACTACACACACACACACACACACACACAAACCAAGAAATGAATCAGTACAAGAGAATATCAACTACTCACCAGATAATCATTTCATTCGAAATTTATCATCTCGCACATCAATATTAAATATTCATTCATTCATATAACTATCATCATCATCATTTCATTGAATAAAATGTATTTTAGATGAAAAAAAATGCACATGATTGTCAAACCATGTGAAGACATTGTGTGTGTCTTTTTAATTCCGTCCTCATCCAGGGGAGTGCTAACCTTCTCTCCTTTTCAAAAAACACAAAAAAAACTGGCCATGGACTGTTATTTATAATGACCAAATACCATAGAACGTTTTTGTTACGGGATTTTTTTTGTAGAATTAATACTATAAATGGAAAATATTTAAATATAAATCAGATGGAAAAGATTTATATATACAAAATCAAATCCAATTATGGCTATTTATTTAAATGTTTTGATTATTATGATTATGAATCAATCTGGTGAATAGATAAAAATCCGTGAATTGATGACCAAATGGCTGAAAATTATTGTGATCAAATATTGTGATGTTTTTCCCATCATCATGATCATGATCATTCGATTATTGCTCTGTTCATTGGTGATCATCATTCTAATTGTTAATCATAATTATGCCATCAATGCTAGATATTTTTATGATTTACATTATCCAGTCTATCAAAATGGTAATGGCCAATATTATTCATTTTGTTCATTTGATTGGAATCAAACATGTGGTTATCGGCCACAACCAAATACATTACCATTCTATGTAAGTGATGAAATTGAAACCTTATCATCATTAGGTATGATGGTATTTGATGTATCCAAAGTTGATCGTGATCAAGCATCTGGTGCCAGAATTTCAGGACGTTTTTATCCCGCATATAATTTCACCAGAGGTTGTTTAATGATCAAATCATTAACATATGGACCGGCTATTTCAAATTGGATACTACGACAACGTGATCGTACGGATCGTATTCTTTATCATTATACAAATAATTGGCAATCGAAAATGGCCCGTACAAATCTCGATGAATATTGGACATTTCTATCGTTACCAATCGATCTTCGTAATGGTGGTGTACAATTTTTTTTCGATGTTCATGTTGATACAAAAACACATGCAACAGCTGTCGGTTTGATGGCCATCGATTTCATTGCATTTCTTTATGAAGATTGTTGTTTTATGCAATCACAATTGCTGCCATAATTTTATCGAGAATTTTTTTCGATAATTTTTAACAAAATTTTTGAATAAAATTCGATTCGATGTATCGATTGTTTTGAGATATTGAGCGCGCGCATCATTGGAATTTTTTTTTGTTCGATATATTTTTTTATTCGATCAAGTTGTTATCAATGTTCAAAGTTCATAGTGATAAAAAAAAATTTCTTTGAGTCATATTGACATTGATCGCTCGACAAGAACATCATTGTTAGTGAGTGTAAAACTGTTTCTTTTTTTTTTGTTTCGTTGAAAACTAAGCCAACTGTAAAAATGAAATTTTCGAAATTAACAATCGGCATTATTGGCGGTACCGGCCTGGATCAAGATTCTACTATCTTGACAAATATTAAAATGGTAAAGGCACCAGAAACTCCTTATGGTCAACCATCAGATTCGGAATTAGTGTATGGACAAATCGACAACGTCGATGTTTACATTCTTGGTCGACATGGTCGCCAACATGATATTAGTCCATCGAATGTTAATTATCGTGCTAATCTTTGGACATTGAAACAGCTAGGCTGTACACATGTTTTGGCAACATCGGCTTGTGGTTCATTAAAGGAAAGCATAGCGCCTGGTCATCTGGGAATCATGGATCAATACATTGATCGTACAAATGTACGTGGTGGCCGATCATTCTATAAAGTGGCACATATTCCACAACCTCGTCCATTTGATCCAACCGTACAGGATATCCTGTACAAAAGTGCCAACGAAGCTGGCTATATTTGTCATCGAGCATTAACTGCCGTCTGTATTGAAGGACCTAGATTTTCAACATTAGCCGAATCACGTTTATATCAATCATGGGGTGCTGATTTGGTTAACATGACAATGGTACCCGAAGTACAGTTGGCCAATGAACTTGGTCTAATCTATGCAACGCTTGCCTTAATAACTGATTATGATTGCTGGCATTCAGATGAACTATCAGTATCGGTTGATCTTGTAACCAAAACCCTTCGAGAATTATCAACAAAAGCCAAAGATGTGCTGGTCCGTTCCATTAAACATATGAAACAAATTGATTGGACCAAACATTTGGAAAATAAGGCCATTATTGCCCGTAATTCGATTATGGTTGAATAATTTGTCGAATATAGTTTTTAAAAAATTTTATCATAATTTTAATAAATATAAAGTGTTGGAAAATATGAATCAAATTCTTATATTTTCAAACATGTTTATTTCATTATTAAAATAATATATCAAAACAAAAACGGAATCAATGCCTTTATGGTTGTGGGATAACGATCATTGAATCGTTTTCGATACCAACGATATGACATTAATGATGCTATTGTTTGATTAGCAATAACAAACATGACCATCGTTGACCAAAGATAACTACGACTTGATTGTAACCATAGACAAATGTAGATAAGAATTTCGGTCATATAATGTGGACAGGAAATATATTCAAATAGACCACCACGTGGAATATAATAATCATTGTTTTGTTTCGCTTTGCTGCTTCTAAGTTTGGCCAGAATACGATGTGATTGATATTGAATAGCCGAACTGGTAAAGAAAATAAACACAGCAATCATTGATGATGATGATGATGAATTTGATGATTGAACAAGGTGACAATCATTAAAGGTAGCTAATCCAATTGTTATATAGAAAAATATGCCAACAATATAATGAACTAAATTAATCGTATTACCAGAATAAATGGATACATAAAAAGTTTCATATAAACGTCGTAAACTTTGTAGCCATTGTAATCCGATAAGAATAATTGTTTCGAATTGTATCGAACAACAAAACATTCGAATGATTAGCGCAGAATTTATTAGGAATGAAATTATATAAAAATGACGGAACCAATATTTTGGTACCTCTAACATTCGAATGATTGCATCGAGTATCGATAGTAAACGATAATATGTTGGCCATCGTTTTATCATCGAATCATTATCATTCGATTGTTGTTGTTTTAATGATTTAAATTTTCCATATAGAACCAATGATCGTATAAATTCGGGAATCCGTTTTGATTGCAGACCATTAAGAGTTATCGTACCGGAAATTATGATTCCGATGGACAATATGTTCCAGAATAATATTAATCCAGTATTTAATGTGATCATTATCTCAATATATATTGAAATCGATTGATCAACATGAAATTAAAAAACAACAACATAATGATGTGCCATCTGGTAGTGAATCCTAAATTAAACAAAAAAAAATTATTTTTCATCATCATTTTATTAAGAAAACAAAGATATTTGATTTGACTACAAAAATTTATTCATTTTACACAATTCAATTCCAAATCATTTATAAACAAAGATTCAAGATATTTTTCTATGATTCATATATGTATGAAAATTTAAATCAACAAAAATAATGTTCATGTTATTTTTACAATAGCTGAACCATCATTCAACATGGATGAAGCAAAACGTAAACCAGCTATGATGAAACCAAAATAGAAAATGTTATGCATCAATTTTTTCTTCGATTCTTTTTGCATCTGTTCGGCTGATGGAACTGCAGCCGTTGATGACGAAGGATGATCATTTTTACCGGACAACTGAAACGCCATGGTAATCCTGATTACAAAAAAAAAAGAAAACAACAGTCAAATAATTTGAATAAAATGAGCAGAAGATTTTTTTTCATTATTTACCGATTTAGATTTAAAAAATTTTACAAATCCTGAATCTGATGAAATCATGCAAGATCAAATGCTAACAAGATACACGTGATATTGAAAATTGTTCATAAACGACATGACAAATTAATTTTTACATCATCACATTTTTTTAAACAAAAATCATCATCACCATCACCATCATGTCTAATGATAATCAACCATCCAGCAATGATGCTGATATGATCGAAAATATAATAAAGACATCTATGAGCATTGATGAACGATCAACAATCGATGAATTGAATCGCCAACAATGTTATGAATATTTGGACATATCTCATTCAACACCATCACAGTCATCATTTTCATCATCAAATAAAAGTCATTCGAAACGGAAAAACAAATCAAATTCTGGCCATAACGAAGATGATGATGATGGTGATAATATCAATGAAAAAATGTGGTGCATCAGTCACATGGGAAAACATCTGATAAATCGTAAAGATTCATTATTACGATTACAATGTGATCTGTATGCTGGTCATAAATGGAATTCATTCACACAACTAACCGATGCATTAATCATTGATCGTCGTCTTCCATGTTATATATTGATGAAAAATTTCTTATTCACATTATATCGATCCGAACCAAATCATTTATCCAATGGTGATCGTATGCAACAAACATGTAAATTCATATGGAAATTATTATTTGTATTAGATGAACGTTATGAAACAATGATTGAACTTATCAATTATTTCATCCATGTTGGTGATCATCATCAACAGCCATCATTATTGACACAAGGTAAATCATTCATGAATGATCTAAATAAAGAATTAGAACATCGATTTAAAGTTGGTGGTAAAAAACGGCAAATTTTAAAATCCTATCGAATGTTGATAATAATTTTTCGAATCTATATGGAATATTTGGATTTGATCGAATTGAAATGTAATAGACAGATATATGCTTCTGTATCGGATATACGTGTTGAAAAATTGAAAACAAATTTCACCGATATAATTGATCATCTCGAGAATGAACCATTACCGGAATTGAATTGGGATATTGTTCCAATGATAATGTTAGAATTGTTACTTGGTTATCAGAATAATAATATTCAAGAAGCATTCGAAATGTTGTTGAAATATTCGAAAATTTTTCCCGATAATCTTAATGGCTATGTTTTTCTATATGAATTCACGAAAAAATTCAATCATCTTAATATAGATCATCATATTCAAATAGATTGTTTACGAAATATCGTAAGATTATGTCCAGATTCTAAATATGTTTTATGTTTAATTAGACAAATTGTGGATGATGAGCCTGTCGAATGTTTAGAAATGATTTGTGATTTTCTTGATTATAAATCCAATTATGATTCATTGAAAGCATGGAAACTTTTGCATCAAACATTGATACGTCTTTTCAATACAACAACAACAACAAACGATAATTTATTACAGATACGAAAATATTTGCATCAAAAACTTAACCATTGGCAACATATTCATTTTCGTTTGGATCAACTCAATAATTATATAAACAGATTACGACGAAATGGTTGTTTGGATGATTTATCTGATTCAAATTATGATAATGATGATGATGAAATTCTATCAATAGATACATCATCCACTCGATCATTGTCATCCAATGTTCAAAATCTATATAGATTTAAAGGAAAAATTATCGAAGAAATTCATCGCCAATTTCCCGATCTGATTAATTGTGATTTTACACATTTAATATTTTTTAAAATTCGTACTAAAAATCTTTGATTAAATTTTTCATTTTTTTTTTTTTTTTTTTTGAAATAAAAATTTTCTTAAAAATTATACAAGAATCTAATATTAGAATGCGCATGTTTTTCAATACGGCTATAGATTTTGAAATTGGACAGAAAAAAAAAATCATGGAACTCTATCCAACCACAACCATTACTACTACCAGTTTTTAAATATATATATGGCTCAAAGAAGAAAATGATAGCGGCATTAGAATTTATCCAATGTGAATTGTATTCCTTTATACTCACCCTCTTTCTCTCTCCCTCCCTCGTGATGGATCATCAACATAAAACACAAAACACACACATTTGATCATGATTCTGAATACCACTACTACCCAAAAATATTGAATGATTGATTCTCGTGATAATGTTGTAGTGGTCAAATGTGTGTGTGTGTGTGTATGAGGATATCCTTTTTTGCTTCCAATGCCGACATTGAGCCATTCCACTGCCGATTTCTGTGTTTTGTGTTCGAATATAATGTTTGTTTGTTTGTTTGATTGATGTGTTGAATGATTTTGATTCAATGTTCATCATCATCATCAAAGATGATTGAATTTTTTCCATAATTTACATTTCCATCATTCTGAATGAATGAAAGGAGAGCAAAAAAAAAAATTCTTAATCTGATAATAATTTTTTTTCAGAAAAATATTCTGTTATATCTACATGATAGATGATATGGATTTGGCCTAAAAAAAACTAAAACTAAATCCAATTGATTTATTCACCTTTTTCATTGATGTAAGTTTCACATCTCAGTCATTTTTTTATTAATTAATACAAATTAATAAATTTTAAAATTTCATATAGAATTTAGTATTAGATTCCTTTATTCTGGATATCTTATAAAAAAAATAAATGAAAAAATGTTCATCTAAAATCAATGATTGTATTTTTGGAGAAGAAAATTTTCAGAATTTTCTTTTTACCACTCAATCGCACTTTATATTTTACATTTGGTTCCGGTCCAATGAATCATGGACATTGACCAAAATCATCAATTAAATAGTAATCATTTCCGTAATCAACAAAATTCATCATCAACATCATCATCATCATTATTATCATCATCGGGAAGTGCTGTACATCGAAACATAACAAATCATCATAATCAAACTAATGATAATAACGGTAACATAAAAGACGAACAATCATCAACAACAACAACAACATTGACAGCAACAAAACAACAACAATCATCAAATCAACGGAACCAAAAACAATCAACAACATCAGTAACAGAAAAAGAAATGGTTGGCGGTTGCGCTGTTTGTGGTCAAGATGAAGGATATCTAGACAATGTAATCATCTATTGTGATGGTGATGGCTGTGAGATTGGTGTACATGAAGCCTGTTATGGTATCACAACGATACCGAAAGGTGAATGGTATTGTACACCATGTTCGATTAATCAGAAGCCCGAAAAATGTGAATTATGTCCAGCACGATATGGTGCATTCAAGCCAACGGCTAATGGCCGTTGGTGTCATGTTGTTTGTGCATTATACATACCAGAAGTTGAATTTGAAAATATCAATACGATGGAACCAATTGTTTTGGATCGTATTGATGCGCGTCGTGTTGGCTGTGTTTGTATTCTATGTGAAATGAGTGGCAAAGATAAGGATACGTCACGTAGTGGCTGTTGTATGTCATGTCATTATCCAAATTGTCCGAATAAGTTTCATGTTACCTGGTATGAATATTGTTTAAATTTAAAAAAAAAATTTCCCTCGAATATTTATTGTTTTTTTTCTAGTGCCCAATATCAAGGATATTTATGTGAAGAAGCATCAGCGACAAGGCTAAAATATAAAGCCTATTGTCCACAACATATTGAAAAGCTTAGGAATCCGGTATGATCTTTATGATCAAATGAAATTGTTCTATTTAATTTAATTTGATTTTAATAATTAGCGGCGAACCAAAATTAAAATTTTACCCGCATATCGACCGGAAGATCCGAATCGTAAACAATCCAATTGTTTCCTATTGCTTAATGATGATAATGATGATGGTTTGATTTCATCAAATCGACCAACATTAAATCTACCATCACCAATATCACCTATGACATCACAGCAACGAACTAGCCTAAATTCATCATCCGGTTCATCAGATACAAAAAATTCTGCAAAAATTTTAAAAGAAATAGCCAATAATAATCGATCACAACAACGTAAAAATTCTGCCAATTCAATCAATAATAATAATAAGCTAACAACGAAAACATCTACAATGATCTCATCCACAAGCCAATCAATGAAAAGATCTTCCTTCAATAGTTATTCAACGACCAATGTAAATTTTACTAATAATACTTCCGATTTATCGAAACATCAGCAATCATTTACAAAATCAATGTTAACATCACCGGCATGTCCGAATGAATCATTACAAGTACCACGTAAACGTACATTATCAGCATCATCGTCATCATCATCTGCATCATCATCATCGTCAGAATCATCATCCAGTGGTTCATCAAGTTCTGGTTCATCTAATGATTCATCCGATGATGAGAATGAATCGTCGCCATTAACCGCTGCTGCAAATGTTTCGAATAAAAAACGATCGTCAACAGTTGCAACCACAGCGGCTACATCGCAATCAACATCAGCGGCAATTCCATCCACTTCGAGTGGAAATAAACGTAAACCATCATCATCGACAAGACGATCTTCATTATCGACTACATCCGAAGATGATGATGATAATTCCGATGATACTGATGAAAGCAGTTCTGAAGATGAATCGGACTCTGATTCCGATGATTCAAGTAGTTCTTCTTCATCTACTACTCCAACTAGTACACCGAAAAAAATACCAATGTCCAATTCAACCATTGTACCATCTTCAACCGGTGGTGTTATGGCAACATCATTATCGACTACGGCAACTGTTCCATTACAATCAGCGGCAAATAATACTGCATCGATTCCAAACTCATCGACAAATCGTCATAAACCCAATACATCCATTTTACAATCATCATCGAAATTAATATTATCCGATGAAGGTTCGTCATCAGCATCATCCGGATCATCATCATCTGGTTCATCATCCGATTCGGACGGATCGAATTCATCAAGTGATGATACATTAACAAAAAGAAAGAAAAAATCAACATCTAAAACGACGGCAAAGAATTCGACCAAATCAGTGACAAATAAAAATAAAAAGATAAAAGTAGATTCATTGAAACAGCCACCGATCAAACCTAATTCGGGTAAAAATCGAAATAATAAATCCGAATCAAAACATCAAATTAATCAACAATCACAGCCATTAAAAAATGAAATATCGACAACCACAACATCAACAAATCGTACAATAACAAAAGCACCAGGTTTAATTAGTCAAACAATTTCGATTGTTGAAAAAAGTGGTACATTAAATGCCACAACAACAATTGCCAATTCTACAGCTAATTCTATTTTGACTAGCCAAAACGCAACAAAACGTACATCATCATCCAAATTAATACTCAGTGATACCGGTGATAGCGATGAAGAGGGAAATATCAATACTGATAATGACGATGATGAAGATTTTCGAATTAGAAAACGGAAAAAATCAGAACGTTCCACTACCACAGCAACATCAACGAATATGAAACGTCGAAATAGCTCGAATAATAATGGTATCTCAATTTTGAATTCAAATTTGGCTACTATTTCGAATACTTTGGCTGTTTCACCTAATTTTGCTAAAATTTCTCAAAAATCATCATCAATGACATCAAATCGTTCGTCGAAACTGAAAAACAATAACGATATTGTTGGGAGTGGTAAAAATTCACAAACACGTAGCCATAGCCAAAAAACCAAGACTAATCAACCATCAACATCGACGAAACAGCAATCAAAATCGAAATCTAATGAAAAATCTGCAATGTTGGCATCTAATAAAAAATCTGCCAGGTAAAATTATGAAACTTTCAAATTAATTTTTAATTATAACTGATTTTTAAATTTTAGATCTCAATCACAAAACAATACTAATAATCAATCGGTTGCCAAATTGAAATCACCTACCATGTTAAAATCACCAATATCTAATCATCAAAGAAATTCAAAAACTACGACGACGCCTACCATTGATGGTGAAGATATACAAGCTAAAATTGTGGCCAAATCGATGGATAACATATCTCCATCATCATCACAAGTGACCATTCCATCCGTTGGATGGTAATTTGACAAATTTTTTTCATTATTATCAGTTGACAATTATGTTTTTTTTCGTTGAATTTTAGTTGCCATCATCAACCAGTGCCAAATGCCTGTATACATCATCCAATCTATCCACAATTAGCGTCACCAAATCTTCATGCAAATATTAATGGTAGTAATTATTGTACTGCTCTATCGATCAATACTGGTGTTAATAACAGCGTGGATCATCCATTAGAACTAGCCAGCAATAATAAAGCAATTATACATCATTCCAATGATAATAAATTATTGACAACATGGTATGTTTATTGGAGTTTTTTCGAAATTTCCATTTGAATTTTTCGATTTTTTTTCTCGTTCACTAAGTACATCTTCATCGATGGCCAATCTTCAATCGACTATTCCCCAATCATCCGCATCATCGAAATCGATGGCCATTGCAAGATCACAAATTCCATTCAGTCCATCAATGGTTCCATGTTATGGACCAAATATTCAACCAACTGGCCTACAACATTCACCATCCATAGATCTGCCACCAACACCGAAAACATTGGAAGAATTGTTAGAATTTCAATGGATACATTCATCACATTTCCTAATGACACAAGAAGACAATAAAGAAGCGTCCATTATGTTACAAAAACTTCATGGTCTTATTACCGAAAAGAATAAACTACATAAAGAAATGAAATCATTACAACGTAAAGTAGATTTTTATGATTCAACATTAAAATTGGTAAAAGATATGGTAATCATTTCGGCTCAACATAATGATGATGAAAATGATGGTGGTAATGGTGATGATGATTCGAATCAATTTGATCCGGCTATGATGATGATGATGATGAGATCATTAATGATGACTAAACGATCATCAACATCATCATCATCGGGAGCAGTAAATGGTACCAATTCGGCAATCAGTATTGATGATAATAAAAATAATAGCAACAGCAACCACAATAGTAATAATAATTTACTGAAAACAAACCAAACAGCAACAACATCATCATCACCACAAATTAATAACATATCAAATACGACCATAAAATCTGGTTCATCAACACCTGTATCACAACAGAATTGTTTGATTTCTACGCCAACACCACCAACACCATCGACAATTGCCACACCTACCAATACATCATTGAATAATATTCTGGCAGCTACAACTACCACCGCCCCAGTTTCAACTAGACAATTGAGGATCAATAATAATACTAACAATATGGATGCCAATTGTTTGGATGTTGGTAATAATGTTCGTCAAACGAGACGAAGTTCAAACAATTCTCTTCAACAACAACAACAGGCAATGACTATGGGTCCATTAGATCCAACAACGACCATAACTGGATCACCACTACCGGGACCACAGCAGCTCAATAATTCTTCATTGACTACCTCTTCCTCCTCCTCCTCATCATCATTATTAGCGAATACAAATTCATCAACATCATCATCATCCATACCGGATAGTTATGCACATTATCTAAGTAAACATTTAAATAGTCTGTCATCATCATCGAATATAACGCCCAATAATTTACCACCAACTACTGGTTTCTCCTCTTCTTCATCTTCTTCCTCGTCTTCTTCATCATCTTCCGGATATTCAAGTTCATTATCGAATAATAATGGAACAATTTGCCCACCTTCACTACCACCACCACCTCCTCCGCCTCCTCCTCAGTTTCTTCCCACACAATCGGGTAATTTTGATTCAAAACTTTTAGCCACCACTGCAACCAATATTATTGGTCATCATAATAATTTACATGGAAATTTAATCGATACGAAAAATCATTCACATCTTCAGCAACAACCACTGACACATAACCATCATCATGCACATCATTCACAAACAACACCATTCATGAATCAACAACCATTTTTGGCTACAACGAATGGTGTCCAACCATATAACACCAATCAATCGACAACACCATCATCGAATTCAAATAATGGCAATAATAATTATCGATCATCAACACGACCATTACGATCATCATCATCGAATCAATCGACCATACCGAATGGACAAATGAATGTACAGCCATACAATAATCATCATCATAATCATCATCCTATACATCATACTGCACAACAGCAGCAACAATTTCATCAATTTCAACAACATTATTATAATAAAAATTAGGGTCATGGTGATTGTTTTTGGTGGATTCAAGATTTTCTTTTTTCTCTTATTTATTCCGTTAAATTCTTTCATTTTGATTGTTTTTAATTCTACACACTTATAAATATTTATATACAGACACAAGACCACTGCTTGCATTTCTCTTGTCATGAATTGATTGTGTAAATTTTTTTTCACTTTTTTTAAATTATATGGAATATTATATGTATGGATAATGGACATAAAAAATGCTTTGATACTTATATTCTTCACTGATAATTGATGAAAAAAAAATTAATTCTCTTTTTTTGGACAATAAAAATCAAACAATTAATTTTATTGACCAACAAAATATGAACAACAAAGTTTCTGGTTGACTATTATTAAACCTTTATCACTTACATTCTTTTGATTTTTTAAACATGTATATCTTGGTTTATTTTTTTCCCACAATAGATGGCAGTATGGAATTTGTTTAAAAAAAAAACAAAATTCGAATCACAATTGAATTTTCTTGTCGATGTTGATTAGCATAAAATCACCATTACCACATATATCACATTCAGAGTTAATCTAATTTATTATTATTTTTTTTTTTTGACTGTCTTTCTGTTTTTTTTATTGCATTCGATTAATTGACTGAATCAATTCAATTAATTTACGCGATATGCAATAAAAAAAACACACACACACACACAATACATTAAATAATAATAATCATTATTATTATACCATCCATTAATCTATCTAAACGACTGTTAATTTGTCAATGGTCGATTTTATTATTTTTCGAACTTCAAACTAGATTAATCGATAAAAAACGGATTTTTTGGGCTATATATTTTCAATGTTCCAAAATTAAATTTTAATCAATGCAAACAACATATACAAATCTGTCTGTATATGACCGGTGATATGAATTTAATTTTTATTGATTATTGATTCATATAGCTAACTGCCGATTGTCCAAATGGAATGACTGACTGACTGACTGACTGACTGGCTGTCAGATGCAAACAACAATGACAATAATAGAATCAATATATATAGTTGATAAGTTGGTTGAAATCTAATTTTTTGTTTTTCGATCCGATTTCGAATTATCAATGGTTTTTTTTTTGTTTTTATTCCTGAGAAAATGGAGTTGATTGCGGTGGTAAATGATGGTATTAGAAGACGAAGCCAAAGAATAAAAATCAAAATTTCCTTCTGTTTTTGACAATTTTTTTTTCTCATCAGACTATATATTTTTTTTTCTTGTATTACATTTCAATTTCAATTTATCGATTATCAAGAAAAATTCTCTCTCTCTCTCCCCAAAAAAAAGATAATTAATTCATAAATAACATGTTAATGAGTTAGAAAAAAAACAAAGATAGAAACAGTGTAAAAAAAATGAATTCTGTATTCAATATTAATCATCAACAACACTTATGATGATGATCATGATCGATACTTGAACTTGATCATTCAGACATCTGGATTCTTTTGTTTTTTTTTTCACCTGTTCATATATCCACTTTTCACATATACAGAATTCATTCATCATTATTATCTGTTGTTATTTTATACAAACAGAAAATATTTCAAGTGTGTGTGTGTGTGTGTTTTCACATCAAATGATGATGATGATGATCACTTCATTTTATATTTATTTAATGGTGCAGAATATTCCATTTATTTTCACATACATTTGGAACATCTGTTTAGAACGGTTCCATTTTTTGTTGTTTTTTATTCAATTGATTCTTGACATTTGATGATGATGATGATGATTCTATTTTCGTCAACATCATTTTTTATGATGTGTGTGTGTGTGTGTGTATGTTAGTATGTTCATCTGTGTATGATAACCAACGAAATAGAAAATGTGACTTAATGTTAAACCAGAAGTGTGAAAATATTAATAATATAACTGTCATTAAAAAATAGAACAAAAATTGAATTGGTACTAACGGAAAAAAAATATTTATTTTGACATATTATTCAGTATAGCATCGGTTTTTTTTCATCGGTAAGTTTCAGAAACTTTCAGGAAAAAAATTCTGGCATTCATCTTCATTATCATCATCATCATCATCATCGTCGGTCATTTGTTTTTCATTTTTCGATTATCGATATTTGATAATGTGATTCTATAGTTGAAACATTCTCGAAAAAAAAATTCATCACAAAAAAGCTTTATTTCATTCCATTAGTTACGATTTTGTTTTGTTTTCCGAGGATTCGAGTCAAAAGATATTATATAAAATACCCGGTTCGATTGGCATAATTACTGTTATATGGTATAGTATCGATATTTGGGATTGAAGACAGCCCCTCCGATTCCCGATATATCCATTATTGATATTATTTTTTTTCAATCAAATATAAACAAAAACGACGACAAAAAAAATTCGTAGTTCATAATTCCTTTACGATTAATTTGGTTGTCAAAATTCGACATGAAAACAAGAAAAAAAACTGGCAACTTCATCATCATTATCACGAATGAATTGAAACTTGCAAGAATGAAAAAAAATGAACCATTTTTTGTCGAAACTTTCATCCAAAAGAAAAAGAGAAAAAAAAAGACGACAGGTACCACCAGAATCCGTTGCAGGCATTGGGAGCGAAAAAAAAACAACAACTAGTGAAACATCGTCTACAACAAAATGAATCCACGAAACAAAGAATTTCACTGAAGAAAAATGGAAAACTTTTTTTTTGTGTAAAAAAAAAGTTTTCATTTTTTTTCTTAAAGAAAAAAAACTATTAAAAGCAACAAAAACAGAGAAAATATGTAAAAAGAAATAAGAAAACATAAAAAAAACGAAAATTATAAATAATGATTCCTACGTTCGTTGTAGCGTGAAACAAACAAAAACAAAAACAAAAAACACGACATACGTTACTTATACTCCTCCTGTGTTTGTGTTACATGTGATAGCAAAAAAAAAAGTAAAGAAAAAAAATTTTTTTACCTTTTCGAGTCCCGAATTTTTGTTGTTGTTGTTGTTGTTGTTATTAAGAAAATTTCATTCGATTGTTGTTGTTGTTGTTTTCCGCTGCCATTACCGTTATTTTGTTGTTGTTGTTGTTGTTTTGATTTTTGGCCTATAGATAGTGTGTGTGTATGTGTATGTGTACGGTGTCTGAGAATGTTTGATAACACACAAATACATTGTATATATATTCACATTCGATTAAATATTGCAATTTCAGCCTGAAGCAAACAATAGTATATATGTGTATCTCTATTGAATAAAAAAAAAGAAAAAAAGAAACAAAAATGTTTCTGAGATAAACATTATTATTTTGGAATAAGAAAGAGAAAAAAAATCAATCAATGTATCTGGAAATAATGAACAAATACACTATAGAAGAATTTTTAGTAATAGCAAGCAAGAATGAATATGTTTAATCAGAACGAACATATATAAATACTAAGAAAACGTATTGTTTGAACTAATCAAATAACGAATATTCTAGAAATGCACGGCCGTTACACCTCCCCCTCAAGATCGGTGTGCCGGTCTTCCACGATTACGTATCGTATCCAGAGGAGTAGCAGAATCGCCATTAAACCTTTTAAGATGATTATGATGAATCCATCTGCTATTCCCGTTTTTATCAGCGATCTCATAATTCGTAACCGACCTATTCTTGATGACAAAAGGACCACGCCATTTTTTATTCAATTTTTTAGAAGAACCAACCGAATGATCCCATTGATGCCAAAGAACCAAATCTCCAGAAAATAAAGGTTCTAGCTTAATTTTGCGATCATAATAACATTTTTGTTTCATTTGAGCCGCTTCATTTTCCAAAATCCTTTTCCTAGCCAAATCAGAAACGTCCTCAAACTTATGACAAATATTATACTTTAAATCCAAAGGAATGGACATATCATGCCCAAACATAAGTTTGAATGGCGCAATTTTTGTAGAGTGATGAATTGAACCATTATAAGCAGAAACCAAAGAAGGTAGCTCCATATCCCAATTTTTCTTGTCCAAGACAGATGTTCTCAACATATCCTCAACTGTTCTGATGGCGCGTTCAACTAAACCATTCGATTGATGATGCCCCAAAGAAATTAATTCAATGTTGACATTATTAGCAGAACAAAATTCTTTAAATTTCCGACTTTCCAATTGAGGACCCCTGTCACACACAATTGACTTTGGCCAACCAAAAATTCCAAAAACGTGACGCAACCACGCAATTAACGAATCCGACTTCAAATCTCTTACAGCTTCAGCCAATAAAAATTTTGAGGCATAATCCTGGATTAAGATGACGAATTTATTTCCAGCTTCCGAAACTTGTAAAGGACCACAAAAATCCAAACCGACTTTGCACCAATTCAACGGCTCCAACACGCTGGGAACCATCGGCAGTTTCGTTTTTTCATCATCATTTTTGAAAAATTCACATCTACTGCAATTTTTGATGAACGCCTTCAGCTCTTTTCGCCAAAAAGGCCACCAGAATCTTCTCCTCAATTCTTCCTCATTCTTAAAAAGACCAAGATGACCATTCTCGTGAACCACCTTCAAAATATTTCTTCTTTCATTTTCATTTTTAACGTATAATCTTAATATTTCACGTTCTCTAGATTTATCAACAAAAAACCATCTACCATCTTTCTTGATAAAATTGGCTTTATCTTTTTCGATAACATCGTCCAATTCATCCTCAGCATCAGAAGACAAAAGATTCATCTGCAATCTGCTTAAAGCATCAGCTAATACATTATCAGAACCTTTGATGTAATCAATATTTTCAATCTGAAATTCTTGTAATTTAAGAACCATACGCCCCAATTTTGACGAACAGTCCCTCTTTGACAACAACCAACGTAAAGGACGATGATCAGATTCAATACGAAACGGCTTTCCCAAAAGAAATAGACGCCAATGCTTTAACGCCTCGATGATAGCCGTTGCTTCTTTTTCATATGTAGAATATCTACACTGGGTTTGGTTGAAATTTCGAGAAAAGAAATCAACCGGCATTTTTTCTCCATCGATGATCTGAGATAAAGTACCCCCGAAAGATCTATCGGAAGCATCAGTAGTGACGATAAAAGGAATATTCGGATCCGGAATTTTGACAGAAGGATCCTTTTCAATAATTTTTTTGATATCCATAAAAGATTTCTCTTGTTCCTCTTTCCAAACAAATTTTCTTTGATTAGAACATTCATATAACGGAAGAGCCAATTTAGAAAAATTTTCAATTAAATCTCTGTAATAATTTGCTAAACAAACAAACGTCTTAGCTTCTTGTTGATTAGACGGACGAGAAAACTTGAGAATTTTTTCTTTATTAACACTTATAATCGATCTTTTTCCACTATCAATCTTGAAACCAAGATATTCTATCACCGACTTTCCAAATTCACATTTTTCTTTATTCAAACGAAGCTTTTCTTTACGAAGAATATTGAACACTTGCTTTAAATGATTCTCATGTTGCTTTTTATTTTCACTGAAGACAATTATATCATCTAAATAACATTCAACAAATTCTAGATGACCGAGAATCATTTCCATCATTCTTTGAAACGTTTGCGGAGCGGAAACTAACCCAAACGGCATCCTTTCAAATTCATATAACTTATTTTCAAAAGCAAAAGCTGTATACTTTCTTGAATCTTTGTCCATCATAACATTGTAATACCCTTTCTTGAGATCAAGCTTTGAAAATATCGTAGCCTTCGAAACTTTGATGATTATGTCATTAATTCTTGGCATAGGAAACGCGTCATGTCTTGTGATCTTATTCAAATCTCTATAATCTATTGCCATTCTGACGGTACCATCTTTCTTTTTAATAGGAACTATTCTTGACCTAAATTCACTTGTTGATTCTTTAATAACCTTCATCTCTTTTAATTCTTTGATATGCTCTTTTAATTGAACTTTCCAGTGAATCGGAATTTGTTGAATCTTGTGTCTGATAATTTTATCTGACGTAAGACTTATACTATGAAATATTCTTTCATTCTTTCCAATTCCTTCAAAAAGATCGGAAAATTGATCAACAATTTTTGACCAATTTTCGTTTTCCAAGCTTTGAATCTCATTTGAAGAAGATTTATATTCATTGAAAATCACAACATCATTCATATAAACACGAAGATCTTTTCTTTGTTCCAAACCAAAAGACTTGATGCAATTCAAACCAAGAATAACCGAATGCTTCAGATTCTCTAGAATCTCAAAAGAAATTTCTTTGCAGATTCCATTAATTGACACTGGAATGATAGCCCTCCCGAAAGATTTTGTCTTGACACAATTTGCTAGAGATATACTTTTATCAGATTCTTGAACATTTGCCTTTATAAAATTGCATAACTTTAAAGAAATTGCAGAAATAGTCGCTCCTGTGTCATACAAAGCCAATAAATCTTTCTCATATAATTTAATTTTAATTTTTATTAAATTTTCGGGAGGGCTTAACAGTTTAAAATCTCGGAATCACAAGTGTCAATCGAAGCTTGTTCCAAATTGTTAACATTTCCTTTTTTATCTTTCTCCTTTTTACAAATAACTGAAGCATGATCACCTTTGCAAAAAGAACACTTAAACTTGGATTTACAATCTTTAACATTATGACCGGGCTTCAAACATCTTAAACATAATTTCTTTTTAAAAACAGCTTCTTTTCTTGACTCCACAGAACCATTGCGACACTTGAAGGTTTGATGATTCTTTAAATTGCAGATTTCACATTTCACAGAAGAATTGAAAGAATCTTTAGAAAAATTGATTCTTGAATCTTGGAATAATTTCCACTCTCTTTCTATTCGAACTTTCTCTCTGAGAAGCTTTAAAATATTTTGCACAGATTGATCTTCCTCTCTCTTGATTTCATTAGCCGTAGCCAAAGGAATAGCTGACCAAATTTTCTTCCGGAAAACATATTCTCTAACATCGAAAGAGATATCAGCATTTAGAGCCTGAATGAACAACTTGTCAATTTTTTCAATAATTAGCCAAGTCGGACCACTTTTTACATTCAATTTTTCTACTTGAGAAAGAATTTCGCTTTCTTTGATTTCCTCACTTCCAAATTTATTGTTCAAGAAATCAATTAACCAATTAAAATTTAACTCATTCGGTTCCAAGGAAATTCCATTTTTCAATCTTTCTGGCAAGGCACTTAGCAACAACAAAAATTTTTCTTTAATATTAAAATTATTCAGTTGAGACATTTCTTGAAAGAGACTTAGGAAAGACAACCAGTCTTTTTTAAAACCAGAAAATTGTAACTTTAACTTTGGAATCTTTACTTTGGACTCTTCTTTGGCAGAAGAAATAAATTCCAACAACTTTTTCATTTTCAAAGTATACTCCGATATTTTGATATTTACTTCCAAATCTTCTTCATCGAATTCGTCATTGAAATAGTTTTCATGTTCAATCGCCAGTTTTTCAGCCAATTTCTCAATTTTATCGATAGTTTCATGATCCAAAATCAGTTGATTTAATTCAAATCGATTAAATAAACACGAAATCTGGCGACGTAACAATTTTAAATTGGCAGGATTCATAACTTCTGACACCAGAAGAATTTTTAGTAATAGCAAGCAAGAATGATTATGTTTAATCAGAACGAACATATATAAATACTAAGAAAACGTATTGTTTGAACTAATCAAATAACGAATATTCTAGAAATGCACGGCCGTTACACTATGCATTACACACAGAGAGAGAGAGAGTGGTGAAAAAAAAACAAATATCATTATCATGATTATTATTGATGATGGAATTCTTGCTTTTTTCTCTCTTACTTTCTCTCTTGATGAAAAAATGAAAGAATTTCCCAATGAAAATGTTCTTTCTTTCTAGGTTTATAGAAATATTTTTTTTTCATAATTCATTCTTGAATGAATTTCTTTTCTTTTTTTTCGTTTCAAATAGTTTCCAATTCATTTTTACTTTTATTTTCCAAACACTAATAATAATGATGATGATGAATGCTGATAACGTAAGTGCTGTGTTTTTGTGATACAATTTTTTTACTTAATTACTGTTTTAGAAAGAAAAAATGGAAAAAAACTCGTAATGGATATCTTTTCTTAATGATTATTACAACACCATCAATGCTGTTATATGCATTCGATGATTGTAACTTGTTTATCATTTATATATACAAACAATAACAAATTTTTTTTGTTGTTGTTGTTGTTGTTGTTTTGTTATTACGCTTCTTTTGCACGCAATATACACAATATATCAACGAATCAATCAATAATTATTGAATGAATGGACAGAAAACATCAGCCGACTACCAAAAAAAAAGAAGAAATTCTATGGAATGAATCTTAACCACAACAACAACTGTGTGTGTGTGTTTCAAAATATTATTAGTCTGGTTGGTTGTTTGTTTTCACTATAATCAGAAAGACGAAGAAAAAACAAATTTGTTTTCTAGATCCAAAATAATTATTCTTGTGTGTCGATAGTGTGTGTGTGTGTGTGTGTGTGCGTGTGTGTGTGTATGTGTTTGCGTATGAAGAACATAATGCATCGAAATTGGTTTCGTTTTTGTTGTTGTTGTTGTTATTGTTGTAAAGTGTAAATGTCACCATCCACTTTTTTGTTGTTGTTGTTGTTGTTGTTGTCATATGGTATTGAGTATTGGATATCAATGATGATCGTATCTTAATCGTTTGTTTGTTTTTTTTACTTGCATATGGAAAAAAAGAGAAAATAATGATGATAATACCCATCTCTTCTTCTTTAAAAAAAAGTAACCGATAAAACATATAAGCAAAAAAAAAGAAACACAAATAAGCAGAACAATGCATGAATGTTTTTTTTCATTTATTCTCATTCTGTGTTGTTGCTGTTGCTCTTTTGTGAATGTCAAGTTTGTTTTATTCTTTCTTTTTATTGGACTAATTTCTTCTATTTTTTTCCAGTGAATAATTGTCACATAAACATACGCACAGTCATCGACAAAGTGTGTTGAACATTTTTTTTTAAACATCCTTTTTTTGTTAATACTTGAATGAAAAAGGAAAGAGAATCCGATTATAGTTGAATAGTATGTGGCAAACTATAGAATATTCTCTGTTGTTAAGCACACACAAACAGAGAAAAATATGAACAAAAAATAGAAAATATCCGATCGAATAATCGAATGTTAATTGAAACAAGATAAAAAAATGGATTTGCTTGTTAAAAAAAAAAGAAATTCACCGAAAAAGTAAAATAAAATAAAATGAAAAAGAAATTAAGAAATGAAATTAACGCAAACACACACACACAAAGAAAAAGACAAGAATTACCTTAAAAAAAATTTAATGATGATCTATAGATCATAAAAAAATAATGATGATGATAATGATTGTGAAAAAATAACCAAGACAAACTTCTTAGTTAAATAAACGTAGTTTATTAAATGATTGTATCTTAATACAATTCAAAAATCAAAATAAATACAATAAATACAAAAAACTTCAAAAACAAAGCACATGTACAATTTTTCAGGCTGAACACACACTTGCTCGCTCTTTTTCTGTACCCCGAAAAAAATGGGGAAAAAAGTCTATGTAAGCCACGCATTTTACGGACACTTTTCCATCCCCTGCCTTACTGTTGCTGTACAAAGTTTGCACTTTTTTCCCGCTAGGATTTTTTTCAATGTAGGATTAGCCGCCAAAAGCAAGGCCCGTTCATCGAGGACGACCCGCTTCACGACACTCCCCCGCCGATTCCAAAAGGATATGTCCGTAACCGATCGTAGAAGATTTCAAAGAATTTGAATTTCAATGGCCAATCACAACGTCTACGTTGAATCAATGAATCGAAATACTTTTGCTTCCATAGTTTTTCGATTTTCATTAAGAGATCATGATTACAAGAACCAAGACCGATGACCAACAAACCAAAAAACTTTTTTCTGTTCCGATATCGCAATAGATCAAAGAAAACAATACATACAGCTTCAAGAATAGCAACAAAACTTGTTCGGGTTGATGGTAATTGAGTAAATGGTTGATCGACAGGTTTTCGCTTTTCAATTTGACAAAATTTACTATAATAAACAGATTTCTTTTCAATATGATACAAATTAGGAATGGTAGTTTCAATACCATCATGCAATAACATTTCATGATGCTGTTTGATTCGGGATTTAGCAATAGTTCCAAAATTTTGTTCACACAATAATTTTTTAGTAACCGATGTCAATATCACGGGTGAAGACACTAACCCGAATGTTGAAACTTTCATTTGCAGAAACGCCTTTGACAGATCGGCAGATACGGCGAATTTTCCTTTGCGGAATTTCATGAGATGATCAAAAATGTTAAGACCGTGTGCATGGCCTTTCCATAGCAACTGATTCGAAACGTCAAATCCAAACGATCCGTTGAAAACAATACACAACGGTGCGGACGCGGATTCTCGATAAATCGGATGGTACGGCAACAAATAGCCGTTTGGATCGTCCGTTACCATTGCTTGATCGTTAGCAACATAAGCCAATAATTGTTTTTCATATTCGTTTTTCATGCTCTTATTTTCTGATTGTTTGAACGATTTATTCCATACAATAAGAGCCTTATCAAAATCATTGGCTGGACGAATATCTGAAAGAAAAGGCAATCGAGCCTCATATCGTCCATTCTCTTTTCGTACAATTTTCAAATCATCGTCAACGTCTTCGTCGTTAACGTTCAAATCATTTTCAATTTCAAACTTCAATAATTCAGGATCAGATTTCAAAAATAATTCATTCATAGAATGATCAATAATTTTATCATTTTCAATAATTGGTTCATCAATATTTTCATTTTCTGGCAAATCGATGATTGGTCTGGTACAAATATTTACATTACATAAATTGGCTTTATGTTTTTCCAACGATACTTTTCGTCGACTTGCTTCCGTTCCTACTAGTGGTGACGACGAATAGACGATACGATTTTTGTCAGAATCATTTGATTTGTCTTTTACCAATTCTTTGTCGATCAACGAAACATCCGAACCATAACCAAACAGCATACGACTCTGAATTCCATTACATGACCCATACAATAACGGTCGACTTTCTGACTTAGAATTCTTTTTGATCTCAAAAACATTTTTCGATTGATCAACCACTGATATCGCTGCTGTATTTCCAACCGTTAATTCTTCCGTAGCTGGACTAGATTCGTCGATCACTTTGGGTTTCGTTTGAAACAATTCAATAATCACTTCAGGCATTTCGGTAGCATGAAGACGTGGACATTTATCACATTTAAGTTTCGATGACATTTGACAATTCTTACTTAAATGTCCTCTTTTCAAACATCTAAAGCACAATCCTTTTGATTTGATAAGATTGGCTACTGTTTTGACATCATAATTTTTCAAACATTCAAAATTATTTCGATGCAATTTATCACAAATGAAACAGCAATTAGTCGTGATGGCGGCTGTGCTATTCGATATCATCGGTGGCTCTTGTTTCTTCAATGGACTATCTTTACGAATCTTATTGTAATCATAACAAAGAGCTTCATCGTATAGCTTATCAATATAGCTGACTAATTGATCAAAGTCTTTTATCTTGGCCAACATATGACGATGGGCTTTATAGTAGAATTTGGCGGCTACTGCCTGAATCAGGTTGATCGTGTAGAACATTACATCCGAAACCAAATTTTTGATTGCCAAATTGGCATTTTCTACTATATCTTTTGTCCTTTTCAAATTGTGGACATCATTTTCTGATTCAATTCTTGGAATGGATTCTAAATCCTTTTTGATTTCTAGAATTGCGCATTGAGGATCGTCAAACTTTGCACAAATTCTAGTCCAAATTTCCGATAACGATAACCGTTGTCCAATGAGATTCATGACCAATCTTTCCGGTTCATTTTTCATTGTCTTCAACAACATCGACTTCTTTAAATCTTCCGAGATCGATGTGTTGTCAATCAACAGATTTTTGATCATGATCTTGTATGCATTCCAAAATGCGAATTTACCATCAAAAGTCGGTAACTGATCCATCTTAACTGGTCGACATCTATTCGATAATGATGTATCCGCTAAATCGTGGACGATTGTATTGAACCGGGTTGAACTACGATGAACACTACCAGTACCGTTCAGATCATCAAATTGATTTCGAACCACTACCGCATTCATCTTTTTGATATGTTCAATATACAAATCTAATTTCGTGTTGTAGTCGCTCATCCTTTTTAATTCCTCTTCGGGAATTTCTTCTTCTCCGACTAGCTCGATCAATTTCTGGTTCAATTCATCTAATTCAGAACGTAATAGTTCTGTCCGAGCCATGTCCCAACGTCTTACATGAAGAAGGGATACATTACTTCTGGCCGAAGCCAATCGTTGCTTCACATCATCCGGAATTGTCAACATATTTTACTATATGTTGATCGTAACAGTACCGTCCAAAATTCAATACGTTTCCAAGAAGTAACCGTTATCCAAATATTCAAATTTCCAAAATCAATACCGGTGATACAATACTAAAACCAAATTTCAAAAATTCGCGATACGAGTACCACGATCCGAATCAATTTCAATATATTCGCAACCACAAATTGATCACGATCCAAATACAAATCAACTGTCGTAACCAATGTATTACGTCTTTGTCCAAATTTTGCGATAATTAAGCTACGTCCAAAACGTGAAAACGACAATCGTACCCAATATTACATCCAAGTCTAAGTCCAAAATTCTCGTAATGATTGAGCTACGTCCAAAAGCTGTCGATATCACAACAATCGTAACCAGTAAATTATCACGATCCAAAATCTTCGTAATACTTGAATTACGTCAAAGTCAATATTCGAAATCAATAGATGATCACGATCACAGTACAAATCATTTAATAAATGTGAAAAAATAACCAAGACAAACTTCTTAGTTAAATAAACGTAGTTTATTAAATGATTGTATCTTAATACAATTCAAAAATCAAAATAAATACAATAAATACAAAAAACTTCAAAAACAAAGCACATGTACAATTTTTCAGGCTGAACACACACTTGCTCGCTCTTTTTCTGTAGGATTAGCCGCCAAAAGCAAGGCCCGTTCATCGAGGACGACCCGCTTCACGACAAATGATGATGGTGATGTTGGTGGTGGTAGTGGTGGGAATCCATCAACATTTATATTTAGACACATATTCTTGAGAAACAATCACTTAATACTATAGTGAATAGAAAACAAAAATGAATTATATGGCTGGCTACACACATTTAACATACATTTGTTGTTGTTGTTGTTGTTGTTGTTGGTATGATAATAATAATAATAATATTTTAATACCATTTTCAATGAATGAATTTCATAATAACAAAAAAAAAAGAAGAAAAAAAAGATTTTAGTCTTTCTTTCTTTCTATCTTTCTAATAATAATAATATCTTCTTATCTCTATATAAAGGTCTTGGCCATAATCATCATTATCATTATTTTCATAGAGACATAGAGAAAGTGAAAACCATGGAATTATATTTTGTTTCTGGAATCCATTATATTATATAAAATAAACATACGTCAATGGTATTAATGGTACTCTCTCTCTCTCTGTCTCTTTGTATATATTTATCTATCTATCTATCGATCTTTCAATCAATCGATTGATTGACCACAATGGTTAGATTATCATCTTTTGTTGTTGTTATTGATAATGGTGATGATGAAGATGGTTATTTAGTAATGATTTTTATCTGAGATTTATACATGTATTTGATGATGATGATGTGACCAACATTTGGGATTTTTTTTTATTTTATTTCATTTCTTCTTCTGTTAATGATACCTGAGCTATTTTTAATTTTGATTATTGACTACAAAAGAATTGAAAGAATTTCCATTATGTTTTTTCTTTTTGATTCGATTATCATATACAAAACTTTTATTTGGTTATTCCTTTGTGTTTTAGTACATTTTTTTTGTGTCTACAGACACACACACACACACACATACACACACACACACACACAGAGGGAAAAACATTTTCCCTTTGTAAACCGAGAGAACGGCAATTCATTTTTTTTTCATCATCCCCCACCCCTTTTCCACATCTTAAGTTTGGAATTTGATTCCATCGTGTTATTATTATGTAACAATAATAAAAGGCAATTAATGTGCAAAAGAAATTTGATTCCAAAATTCTCTAAAGTGATCTAACGAAAAAAAAATCAGAATTAGAAGCTTGAATGAATTAGGTAAACCAAAAAAAAAAACAGACAATGATGGTGATTGGAAAATGATCTAGATTCCATTTAAAAAAAAACAAACAAACAAACATACCTTTTATATATAAAAAATAACGATCTAAAACCCATGGGGTTATTTTAACGTTGAATGGTGTGTCATAGTGAAAAAAAATACTTGAATCATCATGAATTATAACTTCCGGCAAACTTTATGACGGATATATCATTGGATTTGACGCTGTTGTTGTCTTTCCAATACATTAATCTTTTTGAATTCATTTTTCGTTCATTCATTGATTTTCATCGATAATAATTGAATGTTATGCTATATGTGAGGTTGGAACATAAGAAAATGAAAGAAAAAAAAATTTCATTTTTAGAATTCCAAAAGAAAAAAACAAGAATTTTTTTTTATTTTTTTTTTGAAGTAATGCACAATATGTTATTTATCTTGGTTAAATTCTGTTTTTTTTTTATAAGAATTTTTTCTAAGAATTTAAGACTAGATTGATGGGTATAAAGAGAGACAAACATTTTTTTTCGATGATGACAAAAATGATGATGATGATGACGATGACGACGACAACGACGACTTGGAAAATTCATTGGATAATTCGAAAAGTTATGTCCCAGAATATATTATTATATACGGTAGTCATGTTGTCGATCAATTTCATCATCATCATCATCATCATAAGTAAAATATGTGCAACAGAAAAGAAAAATATAAAAAAATGAAAAAGAAAGAGGATGACGATGATAAGATTACAAAGGAGGAGTAATAGTAGTAGAATAGAAAAATGAGGAGGAAAAGGAATTGTCGAAATAAAAAAAATTCTTGCCAATAATTCACAGACACTGTTATTGTTATTTGTTGTTACTTGCTAACTTGCTACTACTCTAATATGCAATGTATAGTGTTTCCTTTTTGATGTGTGTGCGTGTATGTATGGCTACTAGATTTTTTTCTTTCATTTTGTTTGCCTACTTTCTTTTTTTTTCTATAATATTTCGCGGGCTAAAGGCTTTTGGTATTTGTTTCATTGTTTGGTTCAAAAAAAAGCTGCCTTAGTATCTTCAAACAAACCAAAGACGAGAATGAAAATGGATTTGTAAAATGAAGAATGAAAAACCAAAAAAAAAGAAGGCGCCATATGATGATGATGAATTCAAGGATAATGATGATGATGGTTTTTTTAGAAATATAGACATTTTGAATAAATATAAAACGTGTGTGTGTGTGCGATTTTTTTTTTTTTTGTTCATCGATTCATTCATTTAATTCACAATCATATACTTACGCACATACACAAAAAGTATACACCCACTTTTTGTGTTCAAGTAAATTTTTTACTTTTACTATCACCTAAAAATCACACACACACACACACACAATATTCCTATAGTCAATGTGTGTGTGTGTGTGTGTGTATATGAGATACGCGCATATCAATATACAACCAAACATAGGGCAACATTCAACTACAAATACAAATAATAATAATAATAATAATAATAATAACGAACCTAGAATCCTAGAATCCAGAATCCAAAAAAAAATATTCTATACATGTCAAGAATACATACTCACTATCAATCGCAGCCATTCGACATGCTGTAACCAACCAACCAACCAACCAGCTGCTGTTGTTGCTGCTGCTGCTGCTGCTGCTTCTATAGATACTCAAAGTATACCATACTATACATACTTTTTTTTCATCAAATTCAGGAATTTCAGTTTTTTTTTGCCCCCGTTATTCCTCGATAGAAACACACACACACTTTTTTCTTGTAAAAAGAGAATGAAAATGAATGAAAAAAAAACTGAAAATAACATTGCGCCGTCTGATCATCATCATCATGGTGTTTGTTTCGTAATGTGTGATTCATTTCTATGGTTTATGTATAAAGTGTGTGTAATATTGGTATTTCTGGTCTATAGTCTGATCTGTCTGTTATGTGTGTGTGTGTGTGTGTTGATTAGATGTTGAATATTCTACCAAACAATGTGATATTCCATAAAGAATTATCATCATTTCACAATGTTGTAATGTGTGTTGTTTGTATATAAAGCAAGAATAGCCAATAATAATAATAATAATAAAACATCAAATGATGAATGAATGAACAGAATATAAACCGAATCGCTATGATGATGATGATGATCTCATAGTCAAGATAGTCATCGAACTATTAGACCATAAAAAAGCAGAAAAAAAGAAAAGAAAAAAAACAGATCGGATCCATTCAACAAAAAAAAGACGATGTACAGTTTCACTTTGGTTTATTCGTTTATTATACCAACCATATTTACCAAATTTAATTCTGCTGATGTCTGCCAATGTGTGTGTTCGAAAATTCCGGAAAAAAATATATAAAAATTCACATTTAATTTGGTGTCGATGACAGTGTATGGTGTTCGTTTATTGCCGATTTTGCGTTTCGATTTTTTTTTCAATTTGTTTGTGATCTGATTTTTTTTTGTTTTTTTTTGAATCAGCCGTTTTTTTTCTTTTCTTTCAATCAGCTCATCGTCAACGATCAATGATCAATGATCAAATCAAAATCATTCGAAAAAAAATCACTGAATTTCTGAAAAAAAAGAATAAAAAAATAAACATTATTAGTTATATAATAAATGTGGTTCGAATGATTTTTTTTGTTTCATCATTTGTTATCTTACTGAATTCTTACTCGTTCGACAGTTTTTGCCTTTGTTGCTGCTGTTGTTTGTTGTTGTTGTTGTTTACGGTTCGATTCATTCATTCATTCTTACAATTTAGTTATACTTATTCTTCTTCTTCTTCTTGCTGTCGTTTTTATCATTATTCTGCCTGGTGGTGATGTCTGGATGTGGAATTGTTGTTGTTGTTGTTGTAAAGAATAATAACAATAACAAGAAATGAAATGAAAAAATGATTTATCATGATTGTATGTGCGTGCAAGTGTTGATCATGAACCACAGAGTGATGTGAATTTCAAATGTTGATGTGAAAGAGAAAAAAAAATTCAAGAAAAAATATTCGAATCGGAAATTACAAAAAACCAAAATTGAATTTGAAAAAAAAATTCAATTTTTTTCTCGTCATCAAGAATCTCATCATGATTTACTCACGTTTTTTTTTTGCTGTCGTTCAGGGAAAAATGAATGAATGAAAAAAAAAACAGCAATGCATATTATAAAATAACTTTTTTTTCTGAAAAATATTTTTGTGATTCTACACACACACATTATCAATTTATATATATGATGATGATTATGATGTTTGCATTTGGATCGTTGTTATTCTTCTTTTTACAAATGGTTTGTCATTCAATCACATCATCATCATCATCATCATCATTTGAAGAGATTAAAAAAAAATTCAAAAATTCAATCCACCACTTTGGCAATAACAATAACAAAATCATCGATTGTGATTTCAACACATATAATGATTATTTCATTCATACAAATATTGATAGATTATTGACTATTGTCATCATCATCATGATCAATGATTTCGCATCGATGATCATCATCATCATCATCATCGAAAAAAAATAATGTAATGTGACAAGTTAATCAAAAGCCGTGTATATACAAACATTTCACATTTCGAATGTTTGTTCAAAAAAAAAAAAAACATTTGAAATGTGTTGTTAACAATAAGAAACGTTGCCGGCTATTTCGACATGAACGAACTTTTTATATCAAATGATTGATCTCGTAATTGTGTTTGTTTGTTTGTGCGTTTAATATGTTTGTTTGATCGATTTTCAAAATCGATCCATTTTTTTCGAGAGAGATTTCATAATTTGCCATCCATTCATCCGTGTGTGTGTGTGTGTGTGATGAGTAAATTGTGTGTGTGTTTACATCCATAATCATCAATCTGTTGTTTTGTTTGAAGTTCCAAAA